TCATCGAGGTTGACGGTCTTCAGGGCCTTCCTAGGTCCTTCCACCGTTGTCGCCTCTTCCCTCTCCTCGGCCTCGACGTCGTGCAGTGCACAGAACATCGCCATCAGGATAGTGGCCTCATTCTCATCATCGGCTTGTGCCAAGTGAGCCTGAGCCTTCTTCTCCTGCTTATGGTTTGGGCACTCCCATGCCCAATGGCCCATCTTCCTGCAACGCCGACAGGCATTGGGGTCGACCTGCTTTTTCTTTGAAGAAGCCTTGCCACGGCGCTTGCCATTGCCACCGCAGTTGGAGGGGGCTGCCTTCCCGGAGTTCCTCCGAGCAGCCCACTCCTCTTTCGTCAGCAGGAGTTTCCTGTTGTCCTTCGTTGCTGTCGCCTGCTCCAGGCGCTCGTCCACCACCCATAGATGGCTTGTCACATCCTCAATGGTGAGGGTGGATAAGTCCAGCATCGTCTCTATGGAGAGAGCGATCTGGATGTACTTTGCCGGCATGGAGTGGAGGTACTTAGAGACCGCCTCCTCTTCGTCGATGGTGACGCCATGGCTCTTCAGCTTGCTGATGAGCGTCTACAGGCGGAGGGAGAAGTCCACCATTTCACCATCCTTGAACTTGAGGTTGGCGTACTCCTGCTTTAGAAGTTGGGCCGTCGCCTTCTTTGCACGGTCAGAACCGACGCGCATCACCGCAATAGCCTCCCACACCTTCTTAGCCGAGCTCTTCGCCCTCAACGGCTCCCTGTACTCCGCCGATACAGCAGCGAGGATAACCTCCAGCGCTGACATGTCATCTTCTTCATTGTCGGTGCCCTTGTCAATAGCATTCCAGAGCCGTCGGGCTCTGAGCTTGACCTTCATGGTCACCGACCACTCTCCATAGTTGGTGCGAGTCAGCGTCGGCCAACTGGTGCCGTTGACCTCCCGCACCGTGCGAACAATGACCTCCGATCATGGCTGGGCAGCCACAGTAGTGCCACTATTGTCGCCCATCTCCGAACCGCCCGTCATCACCAGCGGTTAGTCTAGCGACGACGCTTGTACGGTTCTGATACCACTTGTTGGCCCACAGGATCACTGGTCCAGGTAAGTGAACCACTCACCAGTCTTGTCGAGCACCCGCTAGTGTTGCCGAGCACCCACTAGCCGTGCCGACCACGAACAGGCGTTGTTCGTCCCCACACACTATGGCTAGAGCTTGAAGAAGGGAGAACAGAGCATGTATGCACAATACAAGACACCAGCGTTGGCCGAAGCCCTGTCTGTGAGATGGCAAATCTGAACTCTCTTTACTGAGTTGCTGTGGTAGTCTATTTATACAACTCTATCAATCTAGTCCCAGTACAGCTGCCCTGCTAGAACAGTGACTAGATAACATCTGTGACTGACTTCGCACCGCACCATGTGATGTGCTCTGAAGGTCTGGTGGTGAGCGATTCAATACCGCTGTACTGCAGTGACTCATTGTATATCACAGCAGGGGGCCTTTTCGACGCCGCCTTCCTCTTGCTGTGTTCACACAAGGTAGCAGTAGATTATCTAATAATTATTACCTGCATTCGATGCATCCCGCCAAGTCAGCAACACGCACCGGAGAACGAAACAGCTGCGCACCGCTGCCGCTAACCTAGAATGTGTAGTTTTTCTCTTTTCTTTGCGTGTGTAGTTTTTTGTTTCATAAGCTACATGAATCGTTTGCACAGGTACTGCTTTTTTTCGAATGTACCACAGGCACGGATTTCATTAAGCAGAAGCAAAGTTTTTTTGTTACAAAAAAGATTGGCCGGTAATCCTAGAATTACTAGCTCAATCCCACAAGCACAAACGATACAGCAAGAAAGCACGGGGGGTGGGCCTCCACCACCAAACCCTTACAGACTGAGCCTATTACAGGAAGACAAACACATTGGTAGCCTAAGTTGTAGTGTAGCCGCGATAGCCAGCATCCACCAAGGAAGCCAAAGGAGCCGGCATGACAACAACGGCAAAGCATCCGCACGAGAAACGACCATGGCGGCCAAGCATCCGCCGAAAAAGGACCATTACGGCAAAGCATCCGTAATGAGGGACATCACACGCTCTGCAGCTGACTGAGCGTGGAGACCAAAGTGACGAGGTGGCCAAGCATCCACCCAAGCAGCAACAGCGGCAAAGCATCCGCCAACGAACCGAACGACAGTGGCAACAACAAACACCGAAGGACAAACCAATGTGAAGATAGAGTTGAAGCATAGATAGGCACAGCAAAGCCACCCACCTAGCACCTAATTGACTATACCTGCAAGGTAAAAATACATCAACGCAAGGGTGCCAGCACGAGAGATGAAGCCGTGGTGGCAAAGCATCCACCAAGAAGCGACAAGGCTGCGACGGCAAGTCCGCCCGAGCAGCACGGCGGCAAAGCATCCGCCGGATAGAACGCGACAAAGTATCCGTAAAAGGGGAGCCATCACACCCTCAGCCATGAAGGCAAAGCATCCCCCTGACAGCGAAGCATCCCCCAAGGAGAGCGCCCGAAGCGACAAGGCGGCAAAGCATCCCAAACAGCAACGACGGCAAAGCATCCATCAAAGAACAATCGACGGCAGCAACATAAAGCATGCTAGACAGATCCTTGCGAAGATGAGCTTGGAGCGCACATGCAGGCACAACACAGGAAGGAGCGACTCCGGCGAGAGCAAGGGGGATCAGGCGGAGTGCATCAACAAAGCCATCAAGAAGGGAATGACATCCACGGACTCCAACTTCATTGGGAGAAGCACCAAGAGGGATTTACATCCCCAAACTTGCCCCAGCAACCTCAACGGCGAACACTTCACCGGCCCCGACACCGCCGGCCACATGCGCCAACCGCGAAGCCCGACAGTCACCCCCACGCGCCACCCACGTGCACCACGGAGCTCGGGGGAGCCATGATGCAGCAAGGGGAGGATGCCGCCACCAGCCGCAGTGGGCCAGACCCGGACCCAGGGAGGGCGGATCTGGCCCCACCGACCAACCTACACGTCGGAGGTAGCAGGAGGGCGCCGGACCGGGAGGAACCGCGCTGAAAGGGGGGAGGCCACCACCAGCCGCGGGTGGCCAGATCCGGACCCAGGGAGGGCGGATTCGGCTCCGCCGGCCGCCGGAGGTAGCAGGGGGGGGGTGCCCGGAGCAGCCCATGCGCGCCCCCGCGCGCACGATGGTCGCCGGACCGGGAGGAGCTACGCCGAAGAGGGGGGAGGCCGCCGACCACCGTGTGAGGCCAGATTTGTGACTGGGGGAGGCGGATCCGCCCTGCCATGGCCGGCCAGCCCATCGGAGTGGTGTGGACCGAGGAGGGGTGGTGGAGGAACGGGGGAGGGAGGAAGGGGGCTGCGACGGTTGCTGGTTGTGCGGGCCGTCGCGGGCCGCCGCCGCTTCACGCTGGAGGGAGGCGGCGGCGGCCAGAGAGGGGCAGGAGCGGGGCGCTGGGGCTGCGCCGGCGAGTGCCCCCGAGCCGCCCGTTGGGGGCGCTCGGGAGAGGGGAAAAAAGTTTGCACAGGTACTGCTATATGATACAGCTGTGAAGTGTGAGCAGTCTATGTTTTTCATTGATGATCATAGGGGACCACGAAGTGCTTGCATTGACTGGGCACTTCAGCTTGCAGTAGGTGCTGTGAAGAGTTTCAGTGTGCTTTTGTTAGCTGTTCATGGATCAACAATTTCATTCTGGCTTTTGCCTCTTCAGTGTTCTCTTTCTGTTTTGAGACGTGGCTTGTGCTGGAGCATGAGAAGGTTTGTGTATTTTCTGAAACACCTAAGTGCTATTACTGTGTTCTCTGTGCTGTATGAATCATTAAGTGCTTGATCCTGACTTATCAGCAAGACCAGAAGCAAGATCTTCTGTTTAATACATTCTGGCTGATGACATTCTTTGAATCAGTGTCCCTTATTGGAAGTCAAGAAATCACAAATGTATTCGTTAGTGATGATGACAGTAGATTCTTGCTTCACTATGCATATTGCAGCCACAATATCAGTAGTTGGAATTCTGTATATCAGAAATGCATCAAGTACCAGTCACCATGCGTCTGCCATTGGGAGCTACCAAAAATCATTTTTTGCCCATGTCCTCAGAGGTGAGTGCTGAGTCCTCCTGCTTGCCCCAGAGCTTTCTTTCTCATTTCTGTTGATAAAGCTCTACCTGTATTACATAAATAATGTCCAGGAGCAAATTTTACCATATCTAGATACAACTGAGAAAATAAGTTGGCCAATGTCTGATGAGATTGTGTTTGATCTGTAGTAGTCTTCACGATTTCATTATAAAGCATATGCAGTTCTGTAACCTTTTAAAGATATTGCAATCGACTTCGTTGAATATTGACCATGAATATTTTAATATGAGACATAATTATAATTTGTAAATAAATATGACCAAGACTGCTTATGAGGAAATACATTTAACATAATTGTAATTTGTAAATAAATATGACCAGGTATTTATGGGTTTGTTGAAATACATTTAGCATATGAGGAATTGCTTGAGTCAAATTTAAGAGATGTTCCTGAATTTTGATGTGAAAAATGCATTAAAGGAAGCAGCTTTTCCATCTCTCACAATATGAACTCGTGAATCATGATTGTTGCAGTTTAAGCTTTTCAGTGCTTGCATGTTCCATTCCCATTTCTGACCACAATTATTGTGTTTCAGACAAAAGAGTACTGATCCTGGTCTTAGCTCAAGCAAGCATCCATTTTGCTCTCTCAACCTTTTGGTTTCTCTCGGCACCAACCATAGTGGTATGAGTCTCAGCCTGCTAGTTTTTTGCCTGGTCGTCTGTATGAATAGTGTTTCAGAAACTTGAGGCTGAAATTCTGCTACCGTTCTCATAGATCTGTTCATTGACACAGACTGACGGAAGGTATGCTCAATTGTCAGTAATTTACCCCTGTTTGTTGGCATCAAGAATGCTTGGAAGTGCTGGTTTTCCATGGTTTTATGGAGCCACGGCTCCCTTCCGGAATGAGGACAGCTTGACAATGGCATACATTGGCGCTGGACTCGCCTTGTCCATTGTGGCTTATGATTACCAGGTATCCCATGCATGCATACCTCTAAAGGCAACTACATGTAGTTGGAAATTGGCGTTCAAAGTCTAATGAGAAGTTATATTCATCCAACAGGAGATTGGACCACTGGTGATAGTGTTCTGCATCTTCCATGCATGTGTGGGCTTTATTTTGCCTTCACTAGCAAGATTGAGAACAATGTAAGTTACTGGTGCAAGTACGATACTACGATCAAGCTTAAATTACAGTCTAGTACTTTCTGTTTACAATGCTTGCATCACTGTAGGTACCTACCAAATGAGCTGCGTGGGGGCATGATGAGCTTTTCACTGTCGCTTGCAAATGCGGTCATCTTCATTTTCTTGTTACAGGTATCCATCTGAAGTCCTCTTTTGAGTGAACATACATTTTTGCGCAAATGTTCGCACAATGCTGAGATCATTTCTTTCGTCTGCAGGGAGCCCACCATCGACGCGTCACAAATTCAACCATCCTGAGTCTTGCGTCCTATGGTCTGTTAGGAGCTGGGGGTTGCATTCATATATTGAGGAGGTGGAGAAAGCACACTCCGGCAGAATGCGCGTAGTTTGTAGGAGCTTGAGGCACCTAAGGCTACCATACAGGGGCGGATCCAAAGGGGGGCTGCCGGAGCTACAACCCCTAGTGAGCCTGATTTTTTCATTAAACCATGGTTACTTAATCTCAAATCACCATTAATCTCTAGTCCTAGCCCTAAATCTTCATTATTTAGCCTCAATTTGTCCCCATCCTACTTCCGCCACTGCTACCATACAAGTTGAACTTAAGAGTGATTTTGTATCAAGCTAGTATCTCATGTTTTCTTTGTCGACTCCACTCGTCTGAAACAAGAAACAACATTGGTAACTGGTGATTTGTGCAGCATATCAGTAGTTAGGTGCAGGATATGTTTTTTTGTTCGAAGAAATTGTTGAGATTGAAGGTTAACAAATTATATATACCTGTAACGTAATCAGAGTCCCCCGCCCCTACCCCCTTCAATGTACCATGACCGACAATGCAAAGTTCTTTTTGGACATATTTTGTGCCATGTAAATACCAGATTGTTCATCAGTTTTGACCCGAAAGTAACACGATGACTGGAGTGGTTTCAAGCAAATGTGGAACACCTTTTCTCGCTTCGATTTTGTTCCTGTTGGGCTGTTTACCACGGAATTGTTTTCACGTACGTATGAACGCTGAAGCTATATATGGTGAAAAAAGTGTTTACCTAAATAAATACAAATGAAACAACTCAGTGGAAAAGGGGGAAACGTGCAAATGACTAAATGAGCATACCCAAAACTAAAAAGTAGCATGAGTTAGCAACATTAGTAAATGATAGGGCAAATTCCATAACCCTAATCAATATGCCTATTGCACCCTGAATCAGTATGAATGCTACACGAGTATATGGGACTCATATTTGAGAACTCTAAAATGTAGCAACGTGAGGAGATGGTAGGAAGGATCTCATCTTAGTGTATTACTAATTAGAAGCCTCCCTATTAATCTTCATGAGACACGCTTGAAAAAAAAGAAAAATTTTAAAAATTCTCACAACAATCCAAAACGTATCACCTTTTTGATGTCTAATCACCACCACCAATAATAGTCACAGTCATAGGATATATTCCGTTTCTAAAAGGTTACTCACTTCAGCCATTATAAAAACTACGTAAAGTAAGACGCGGCGCACGCACGACCGTTAGCCGAGTTGCCCGGCTGCCTTCCGCCCTGTCCGTCCGTCGTCTTCTTCCTCTTCGCCGACCCTCGCCCCCGCCACTGCCCCCTCCCGCCGCCACGAGCGCGCTAGGGTTTCGTCGGAGCTCCGCCATGGCCATGGAGCTCCCCTACCCTGGCCGCCTCCACCACTGCAAGGGCCCCTAAACCGTCCTCCCGCCATCCCCACCGTCGGGCCATCCTCCCCACCAAACCCCTTCTCTTCTAAGCACACCGGAGTTGGGGAAGAAGGGGTGGGGCGGACGTGGGCGCGGAGGAGGACGAGGGGGACATACCTAGCCGGCGTTGAACCCGCCGCCGCCACCGAAACCCTAACGGTGAGGGCTCGGGAGTGGTGGGGCACGGGTGTGGGCTTCACGCGGGCATGGTGGGGGTGCAGGCGTGCCCGCCGGGGAGGAGCTCGCCGGAGTTGTGGCGCGAGTGCAGCCGCCGGGGAGGAGCTCGCTGGAGATGAGAGAGAGAGAGAGAGGTGGAAGACAAATTCTGCGAGAGAGATGTGGGCCCCGGTGGGGAAGAAAGGTCGCGTGCGGTTTGCATGTGGCTTGTGAGTGGGCGGACGGATGAAAAAATCGCATGGTTGTAACTAAGACAATGCCCATAAAACAACCACATAAATTTACATTTAATTATCAACAATATGCTATTGTGAAACAATAATTCAAAATAACGATCTAAATTTACATATAAATTACCCGCCTATGCTATTATGAAACATATCTTACATGTGTATACAGTATACATAGGTTCGCACGTGATGGCTTCAAGGTTAGAATTCTAATATATCAAAGCAGTTTGTTTTGGCCGCCTCTCAAGCCATCCACGTCACCCTAAATTTCCCCTGTCATCCGATCTTTCATCGTGTGGTCCAGATTGCTTGTAGCATCTTTCGTTCGAATCAGCTTCATGCAGATCCTTGTCGCTTTGCGTTGATTTTACCAGCTTCTACTGTGTCTGATCCGAATCCAGTGGACCAAATATAAACAATAGCTTCTGCTTCTCCTTCTGGATTCTTCAGAAAATAACTCGCCTCCTCTTCCTCTCTCGAGCTTGTCGCCTCTCCTCCCGGTCGCGGAACGCCGCCTCCACTGCCTCCGCCCCCGGCTTCCCTTCCTTCCTGTCTCCCTCTCCCTCTCTCTCCCGACGTGGCGCCGTGTGGCCGCGGGCCCCGGCGCCGTCGCTTCACCGCGTGAGGCGCGGGCGGCGTCACGCTGGCCTCGGGTTGCGCTGGAGCTCCGCGTGTTGGCCCCGGCGGTGGCCGTCCCCGGCCACAACGCGGCACGTGCGTGCCCCGCCATTAGCCGCCGGCCCGGGTGCCCCCCGCCGCGGCCTCCTTCCACAGCTCTGCGTCTGCTCCTCTGCTCCATGAAACCCTAGGTGCCTGTGCTCGACGACCCCAGCTACACATCGCGTCTTCCTCTCCGGCAGTGGCACCGATGGCTCAACTTGGCGGCAGATCGGCGGTGCCTCACCCCTCCAAACGTAGTTCCGCGGCGACGGAGGCAGGTCACCCCCTCCTCGCCTCTCTCCTGCTCCACAGAAGCCCAGCCACCAGGTATGGATGGCTATGGGCACTTCCCCTACTCTATTTGTGCTTCAGCTACAGTGTTTAGTTTCCTAGATTTAAAGATTGATTTATTCGGATTTGTTACAGAGCCAAGTGTTTAGTTTGCTTTCTTTCTTAGCTTCGTTTAGCGGCACATGGATTCATGTTGTACGGGAATGCCAGTAACGTGGATGTCATGCTCTTCTGCTTGTTCAAAGGTTGCATGCCACTTCTTGTCGGTTGTGACAGGTTTGTCCGTTTGTGTTGCCTCACAGCTTCTAGATTGCCACTGAATTTTCGGATTTGCAATGGTTTGCAAATTTGTGCCCTTCCATCTAGATGTCATGTAAGATGTAGTCCGGAAATTGCTTACATAATTTTTGTAGCCATAAATTACTCGATGAAGTTCCTGTAATGCTGTCTTAAAAATCTTAATGTATTAATTTGTGTTTGGCTATTTTCAAACTAAAATGATCGCGGGTTCATAGCAAAAAAAAAGGGTGGGTTCATTTGTATTTGCGCATCCAAAATGATCCGATACTTAGGGGAATGAAATTTGTGGGTGTTTGCTGCGGGTTTGCTTCTCACTTTTCTTTGGCTATATCATCTGCTACATGCAAGCCTTATTTTTTTAGCATACGGTAGTGTTTGTGTTGTTTTATATCCAATTGCTTATTTTAGGATGACAAAACGTAAATTATGCATTAGAAGTAAAGCATCAATTAATACTGTGGCTATTTTCCTGTTCATTGCTGTGTTTATTGATTCGATTTTAGTTACCAAGATGCAATATCTAGGCAAGAAAGCTACACTTTGATTCATCACTCCACTGTCTTCCTTCAGGTCTACAGCATGGTGTCACGTGAGATGATAGCTAGAGCTGAAGCATTGGAATCATTCATTGGAAAAGGAAGTTTTGGAGTAAGAAATGTTCAAACACATTGTACTCTGCTTATATTTTTCCCTGCCCTGCTGCTCTCCATGCTATGTTTGGTCCCAAACCATCCATCTGGGTAGACCATTATTGCTAAAATATAGGTGAGTTCTCTTTACTCTTCCTTTTGCCTGTTTAAAAAAAAGCTGTTCATAGTGTTGAAAGTATATTTGATTGATAGTGGTTTGTACCAGCAGATGGAGACGGTTGCCACATATTTACATACAGGATCTTTTGTATAATTTACGTGTTCGAATCACGGAACTTTCACCGATCTTGCTTCAGTTGCTTCATATATATTTTAATCTCTTCATGCAATTAGATATACTGACTAATTATTAGGTAAAATAAAGAGCTACCAGGTACCTACAATCTTAAGAGAGTTCTGGTTTGTGGACACTTACCTTAGCTGTTTATCATTTTACCATATCTAAACTTTACAGCTGATGTTTATCAAATCCATCGTGCAAGGCAACAGGTTCACAAGGAGAGCTACAGCTATGATTCAAACTGACCCATGAATGCACCCCTTCTGAACCCAGATCTCCTCTGTGATTCACCTAGGTACTTTTCTCTCTCCATCTTCCTTTCATGTATTTCGAAGGTTACAAAAAAAGATTTGAGAGGGGTTGACTTTCCTATTTCTCTATACTGCCTAATTCCATGCTCCGATCTTGAAAAAATATATAGACATGTTTAGATCTGTGATTGCATTTCCAACCGATTGCCAACGCGCGCGTGGGCACACATGATGGACTAGTATTTGTCAATGTGGGATCGGGGCGGATCCACGCCCGGCTGGGGGGCTGTAGCTTGGTGCTTGGCCCAAATTTTATGGAACAACTCTTCAGAGCCAACCTAGCTAGCCTCCCTCACGCCAGTCTCCAGCCCACCAGCCCAACTGGTGCCGCAGGTCTGCACCTGGTGCCGAAAACGCCAAAAAATCCCACCATACGGACTGCGACCAACGCGGGTTGGCCGGTTGAAAACGAAGGCGAGCGGGCGTTTCCCAAATGGAATTGCTGGCGTCTGGACGTCCGATCGGATATTGATCCAACGGACGGTATCGTGGAAGCGCCGATTCGTTTCCTCGGAGCGCGCCTACACTCTGTGCCCTCCGCCCGTGTCTACTTTTCACGAGCCCACCTAGGGGGCCGTGCCCATGGGGACCGCTGGCGACATGCGCCCGCCGCTCCTCGCATTCGGGGGGACGGCCATGCAGCCTGCCTCCATCTGCCTCGCTCCCACCTCGCACGCGCACCCTGCGCCCATCGCTGCGTCCCCGTCCGTTGGTTCCAGCTCTGTCGCGCCCCATCCCTCGGTGCCTGGGCCGTGGCGCCCATCACTC